GGGGGGCGGGACCTGTGAGGAGGTGGAGCCTGGCAGGGAGTGGGCGGGGCCTGGGGATGGAGGCGTGGCTGGGAAAGGGGGAGGGGCCTGGAAACGGGAGAGGGGCGTGGCCTGGCACTGAATGGGGGCGGGGCCTGTGAGGAGGCGGGGCCTGGCAAAGAGAGAGGAGGCGGGGCCTGGCACTGAGTGGGTGTGGCCTGAAAGGGGGTGGAGTCTGCTAAATGGGGCGGGGCCTGTGAGTAGGCGGGGCCTGGCAGTGAGTGGGCGGGGCCTGAAAGGGGGTGGAGCCTGCGGGCTCTGCCACTGAGTGGGCGGGGCCAGCGAGGGGGCGTGGTCTTGTTAAGAAGTAGGCGGGGTCTTGATGATGGGGCGGGGCCTGTGAGTAGGCGGGGCCTGGCAGTGAGTGGGCGGGGCCAGCGAGGGGGCGTGGTCTTGTTAAGAAGTAGGCGGGGTCTTGATGATGGGGCGGGGCCTGCGGTGAGTGGGAGGGGCTTCAACCTGTTCGAGCTGGTCGCGGTTACTGGGATGGACTGGGATGGACTGGGGGGGCGCTGTCACTGGTTTGTACTGGTTTGTACTGGTTTGCACTGGTTTGTACTGGTTTGCACTGGTTTGTACTGGTTTATATTAATTTTTACTGGTTTTTGCTGTTTTTTACTGGTTTTTACTGGTTTGCACTGGTTTGTACTGGTTTATATTCATTTTTACTGGTTTTTGATGGTTTTTGCTGGTTTTTACTGGTTTTTACTGGTTTATACTGGTTTTTACTGTTTCTACTAGTTTTTACTGTTTTTTACTGATTTATGCTGGTTTTTACTGGTTTCTACTGGTTTTGTACTGGTTTTTACCATTTTTTACTGGTTTTTATTGTTTTTTACTGGTTTATACTGTTTTTTACTGGTTTTTACTGGTTTTTACTGTTTTATACTGGTTTTCAGTGGTTTTATACTGGTCTATACTGGTTTATACTGGTTTATACTGGTTTTTACCAGTTTTTATCATTTTTTACCGTTTTTTACTGGTTTTCACTGGTTTTATACTGGTTTTATACTGGTTTATACTGGTTTTTACTGGTTTTTACTGGTTTTTACCAAACCTGACAGTTTTTTTACCGTTTTTTCCCGTTTTTCCCCCGTTTCCAGCCCTGTTTAACCTGATCCCGGTCGGGCTCCGCGTCGTCGCCATCCAGGGTTACTGGGATGGACTGGGGGGGCTGTTATCACTGGTTTATACTGGTTTTCACTGGTTTATACTGGTTTTTACTGGTTTTTACCGTTTTTTTACCTTTTTTTACCATTTTTTCCCCGTTTCCAGCCCTGTTTAACCTGATCCCGGTCGGGCTCCGCGTCGTCGCCACCCAGGGTTACTGGGATGAACTGGGGGGGCTGCTATCACTGGTTTATGCTGGTTTATACTGGTTTATACTGGTTTTTACTGGTTTTTACCATTTTTACTGGTTTTTTACCATTTTTTCCCGTTTTCTCCCCGTTTCCAGCCCTGTTTAACCTGATCCCGGTCGGGCTCCGCGTCGTCGCCATCCAGGGCGCCCGCGCCGGGCGTTACGTGGCCATGAACGGGGCCGGCGTCGTCTACGCCTCCGTGAGTGACCCGAAATCCCCAAAATTCAACCCAAAAACGACCCAAAACCGCTAAAATCCACCCCAAAACCGCAAAACCGCCCAAATCCACCCCAAAATCCCCCAAAACATCAAAAATAACCCCCAAATCTAGCCCGGAAAACCCCAAATCCATGCCAAAACCCCCAAAACGCACCCTGAAACCCCAAATCCGCCACAAAATCCCCAAAATCCCACAAAATTCCCCAAGAACACCCAAGAACCCCCAAATCAACCCCAAAGAAACCCGAAATCCATGCCAAAAAACCCAAATCCACCACAAAATCCCCAAAATCACCCAGAATTCCCCAAAATCCACCCCAAAAACCCCAAAATCCACCCCATAATCCCCAGAATCCACCCCAAAAAAACCCAAATCCACCCCAAAAAACCCCAAAATCCACCCATAGTTCCCAGAATCCACCCCAAAAAAACCCAAATCCACCCCAAAAAAACCCAAATCCACCCCAAAACGCCAAATCCCCAAAACCCACCCCTAATCCCAACCCAAAACCCCCAAATCCACCCCAAAAAAAACCCCAAATCCACGCCAAAAACCCCAAACCCACCACAAAGTCCCCAAAATCACCCAAAATTCCCCAAAACCACCCAAAACACGTCCCAAGATCCAACCCCAAACCCAAAATCCAACCCAAAACCCCCAAATCCACCCCAAAAAACCCCAAATCCTCCCCAGAATCCTCACCAAAAACACCCAAAAAACCCCAAAATCACACAAAATCCCCCCAAAACCACAAAAAAAGCCCCAAATCCACCCCAAAATCACACAAAACCCCCCAAAAACACAAAAAAAAGCCCCAAATCCACCCCAAAATCCCAAAATCACCCCCAAAATCCACCCTGGGATCCCCAAAATCCCCAGGTGTGCCCAGGTGTATCTCAGGTGTATCCCAGGTGTATCTCAGGTGTGCCCAGGAGTGCCCAGGTGTATCCAGGTGTATCTCAGATGTATGTTAAATAACGCCAGGTGTGCTCAGGTGTATCCCAGCTGCCCCCAGGTGTGCCCAGGTGTATCCCAGGTAACTCCAGGTTTATCCAGGTTCCCCCAGGTGTATCCCAGGTTTATCTCAGGTGTATCCCACGAGTGCCCAGGTGCCCCCAGGTAACCCCAGGTGTATCCAGGTGTGCTCAGGTGTATCCCAGGTGTATCCAGGTGTGCTCAGATGACTCTCAGGTGTATCCAGGTGTATGTTAAATAACGCCAGGTGTGCTCAGGTGTATCTCAGGTGACGCCAGGTGTGTTCCAGGTGCACTTCACGCCCGAGTGCCGCTTCAAGGAGTGCGTGTTCGAGAACTACCACGTGCTCTACGCCTCGGCGCTCTACCGGCAGCGCCGCTCGGGCCGCGCCTGGTACCTGGGGCTGGACCGGCACGGGCGCCCCATGGCCGGGCCCCGCGTCCGCAAGGACAAGGCGGCCGCGCACTTCCTGCCCCAGCTGCTCGAGGGTGAGGAAAAACCACAAAATTTGGGGATTTTACTAAAAAATTTGGGGATTTTAACTCAAAAATCGGGGATTTGGCACCAAAAAATTGGGGTTTGGGAGCCAAAATCAGGGATTTGTGAGGTAAATCGGCGATTTGAGGATCAATCGGGGATTTTGAACTTAAATCGGGGATTTGGAACCCAAAAATAGGTGTTTGGGACCCAAAAATTGGGGATTTGAAGTCAAAATTAGGGATTTTAACTCAAAAATTGGGGATTTGAGCCCAAAAATTGGGGTTTTGGAGCCAAAAAGTTGGGGTTTCAGACTCAAAATCTGGTATTTGTAAGTTAAATCGGAGTTTTGGAAGGTAAGTCGGGGATTTGTGACCAAAATCGGGGATTTGGAACCCAAAAATTGGGATTAGGGACCCAAAAATCGGGGTTTCAGACCCAAAATCGGGGATTTGTGAGGTAAATCGGAGATTTGAGGATCAGTCGGGGATTTTGAACTCAAAAATTGGGGATTTGGACCCAAAAATCCCCCTGGGATGGGCTGGGAGTGACCAGGGAGGGGTTGGGGTGAAATTTGAGTGAAATTTGAGTTAATTTTTGATGAAATCTGACTGAAATTTGGGTGAAATTTGGCGGAATTTTGTGTGAAATTTGGGTGAAAATTGGGTGAATTTTGAGTGAATTTTGGGTG